TTATTTATCCCCCAGGGGGAGGGGGAGGATTTTGGTCGTCTAACAGTAAAAATTTTACCTGATCCCCCCATAAGGCTCACTAATATTCTAATAATCTTTCCTCTCCCTCATATGCAGTTAAAAGGAAGTCAATTTTCTATACCTCCCCCATTATGCTCTATTGGCAAAAAACGATCCCTATCCTCTCCCCCCTGAAAATCATGTGATCCTCTAATAAATCGTCCACCACCCAGCCCCCTCCTTGGGCGAAAAATATCGACTTGTCCGTGATACGCGCAGACGATTTTAAAGGGCGCATTAGAACTTGATTTGCTGTTGTTTAATCAAACTGCAAGTGCCTTCGATATCTAGGGAAAATGAATTGAGTCAAAGTGATAACTTTTATGTTTTGTTTAGCAGATGGATCAAACTATAAACAATACTAATGTTACACTTCCTCAAGTACAAGACATTGTGTCTTTATCAACAACAGACACAACTACCAAAGCAACGATGACTGTCGCCTATAGTATCATCTTTCCAGCGGCGTTGCTAGGCAACATTATTGTCATTTATCTTGTGTACAAGTTGCCCTCGATGCGACATCTTACAAACATGCTCCTTGTCAACATGTGTGTGGCAAACTTATTGGTGACGTTGTTTGCCATGCCGTATTCTGTTTTGTACGTTTTTCTTCAATATCATTGGCTGTCCGGTAGCCTTGGCAACGTCACATGTAAGCTGACGCACTTTTCGTACGCGCTCTCGATAGCCGCCTCGATCATCGCTTTACTGTTGATTTCATTGGATCGTTTTTACGCCGTTCTTTATGCGCTCAGGCGCCGTCCGCTCTTATTGCGAAGTACCAAATGGGCGTCTCTGGGAATTTGGATTTCTTCTTGTGTCTTCATGTCACCGTACTTGTTTCAATTCAGGGTTGTTGCGGTAAAAACTGCACCTTTGTGCATTATCAGCTGGGAACCTTTGGATAACGAGATCGCCTCTCAAGCCTATTTCTTCATCGTTTTCTTTTTACTTTATTCTCTACCTCTCACTGGAATTGCTTTAGCCTACACCTTGATCGGGAAAAGACTCTGGCATAGAAAAATCCCGGGGCAGCATACTCTGTCAAATGCACGCGTCTTGGAGCAATCGAAGAGAAAAGTGGTACGAATGTTGATTATTGTTGTTGTTGTATTTGCCATCTGCTGGATTCCTGCGCATCTAATGCATTTCTTGTCGTATTTTCAAAGAGAAACATATTTCTCCCTCCATCCTTTGGTGCTGTTAATGTCCTTCTGGTCTTGTCACGCGAACAGCGCCATTTCCCCTTGGCTGTTCTTGATAATGCACCAGAACTTTAGACAAGGAGCTCGAAGGGTCTTCAAGGCCTCATCTCTGCGCTCCAACCAACAACAGTCATTTACAACCCACTGTTCCCGAGGAAATAGTTTGAAAGCGCGACAAGGCCCTTCGATGGGGAATCGGAAATCTGATGATATCGCCTCAGGCATCCCGCTTAAATCTCTTAAATGAAAAAAAAACGATTTCTTCAAGCATTGGACGTTAAAGTCTTATAAAATATTGCGAATAATAGTTAAAAAGTGCTTAGAAAGTTAAAGAAAAAAAAGCAAGGTTACAACGTTAACCTTTTAATTCCTAAGATCTCATTGGTAAGTCTCCACACTGTCTGCGATACAATTATTATGAAGTAAGTTTGGAGAATTTGGTATTGGATCAATTATAACCCCTTAATCGATATATCTTTTTTATTTTCATTGCTTTTTTCCTTGATATCCTGTTGATATTGTAAAGAGAAATTCTGTCTTAGTCACTCATGGGAGTTAAAAGGATTCAACCAATTTTAGTTAAACGTTAAAATAATTAGAAGTGAGAAGGCTGTAAATACCAGGTAAAAACAATACTCATTTGAAAAGGAAAAATTAATAAACGTGTCGAGAAAGACTTTTCCATCTATTTGTTTCTTTTTCGATTTTAACAAAGAGCCTCACGTGGATCAAACCTACCCGCTCAGATGTGAGTAAAGGCAGGTAAATTTTCTACATGAGCCGGAGATTGTCTGGTCTCCATAACACGTAGCGACCAGGAGCATTACTACTCCTCCCTAAGTGGGATGCTGGTCCATCGCAAAGTTAACCCCCCCCCCCCCCCCCCCCCCCCAGTATTTCGTTAGGCTTCTTTGACGATTCACCGAAATCCATTTATACTCCTAGGTGGAGAGGGGCACTGTGAGTGTTTACAATAAAGAATAAAATGCGATTACGTTCTTTTATGAAAAGCAGCCTAAAAATGAGCGACTTTAATTTTCCTGGGGTCCCTTGCAGAATTTGAAATTGCTTTACGTTGAAGAGACTGAGGACCCTGTCGGTTGAAATATTGTCTTTTTATCGAAGAGTTTTTAAAGAAATTTAAAGAGACTCCACGGGCTTCATTGGCTATCCATATCTCATATCCAACCAGCGCGAGTAGAATAATTGTTAAGTATAATCTTGTACCCAAACCCTACCGTGTAACTGCAACTTACAACTGCTTGGCCGTGTAAGGTATGGGTACGAGCGTCGTATTTCTTCATTCTGGTACCTAGTCTCGTTCCGTTTCCCTCACGGTCTGCTCTACAGAACCCACTGACCAAAGGATCACAGCGAATTGCTCGCTGTGACTTCAGCAGGGTCTATTGAGGAGCCTGTCATTTTTTCCACACTATAAAAGCATTATGATTTCAAGAGTAAGAAGCATTATGCCTATGAATGTATTCTTGGAAGGAAAGTAACTTTCGCGCATGAGTGTAGTTATCTGTGGAATCTTGAAAGCCAGTTGAGACGAACGACAATATGAGTAGAATTTTATATTTAAGAAACAATCAGACGATGTGACATTTGGTAAGTAAATTTTATGCCCTTTTTCCCTCTCAAAATAGCATTTATTTCTAAATAAATCCCCGTTAAATCTAATGAAGTCGTGCTGGGATTATGAACACAGTGTCACGGGAAAAGTCAAACAACTTCAGTGACTTTCCTGTTTTCAAGTAATTTAAAGCAAACATTTCAAGGAATAGGAAAGAAATGTAAAGAAATTGACTTCTGGTGTGAGGAAATTTCTAGTTCCACCCGAATAGAAGGATTTTTATAGTGTGACTACAGACATTTTTGGCAGGATCTCCGTTGAATGCCATAGAAATGCAAGGAATTGATTATAAACAATAATAAAAAAATAATCAGAAATACTGTTCTGATAAGTGACCACGGGAAAATTAAAGGTAGAACATGGCAGCAAATAGAAGACTTTCGTATTTCTTATTTTTACTTATTTAGTAGAATTGTGCAGGAATCTTGCCACTTTTCTTCTTTATTTTCAAGAAATGTTCGAATATTTTTCTGTAGCCTTAGATATATAAAAGAATTGTCAAAACTATTTACAAAAACTTGTAAAGCTCGATTTTGATTGATTCGATTTGGGTACAAAATGTTTCTGTTTCGTTTTTTTACTTACATATTTTGTTCAATTAAAAGGTTCTTAAAAGACAAAAGGGACGAATTATTGAACGAATTGCATATCTGAATTGTCCGCAGTAGTTTACATATGACTAAATCTTCATGTTTATAGTCTTTGAATTGTTTTACTGAATAAACAGGTGCCGCCCCACAAAACATTGGGAAATACCTGGTATAAAATATACTCGCGTTTAAGTCTTTTGCCTTATTTATTCTAAGCTAGAGAATCACCAGTTCATCACTTCTTGTTTCAAGTTAAGTAAGAAATTGCTATTAACTTCCTTTAAATTTCTCTCCCAACACTATTTTCAGAAGCTTTTGAAATATTTAAACTGTTTATCGAATGATTTCCATTTGTTGACTGGAGAAATCTAAATAAACTGGTTAAGTTAAAATTGGAAAATGTAAACTTGCCATCACGAGGAAGCTTAGTACGACTTTCATTTCTTTTCTTATATATGTATATTTAGCTAGGTTTCAATTCAGTAAAAATATGAAAGTATCAACGAAAGCGGATTTTTCTTGCTCTTTCAAGCAGCCGAACCATTTTGGAAATAGATTTTACTTCAGCGTTCAATGACCCGTTCCTTTAATAGCTGTACGCTAATTGTTTCACAAGTTACGTATTTTCCAAACTAATTTACGGACACATTCCTAGTATCATGGGTAGGTGAGAATCTAACACCTTATCTTAACTTGGTCTATTCATCGTCTTAATAGTTTTGAAAACTAAAATATTTAAGTCTAAACATCATGTTTATTCCTCAACTGGAGCTCAAGACAGCTCTTTCCTCTAAAGAGCACCTTCCTGGACCTAGTCGTACTTTTAAATTTCTAAAACTACGATTTCCTGGAGAGGTTACACACAAAAAATTAA